AGAATTTAGGCACGATATCTTATAAATGATATAATAAACCGAATCGATAAATGTGAGAAAAGGGGGATTTATGCAATGATAACAAGAGAACTGAGACTATTTGGTATAGCTATAAGCAGAAATGGCCGTATCAACTGGATCAAAAAGATCTATAAATATACTCTTAAAATACGAATATTCAAAAAAATGTAAAGGGGTTGAGAAGGAAACAGAATGGAATGGACTGAGAATGGACCGAATAGCAGGATTTTTATATTAAATATATAACCATAGGTAATAGTTACTTTTCTCAAGGCATTAGAATTTGGACAACAATACAAAATAGTGTCAAAGGACCAAAGGCATGTTTTATGAGTATAAAGTGGAAACGTGTTGGCGGGATCTCAATTAAAGTTAAACAGTGTTGACAATTTGAATGTTTTCAGTGGAAATTTCGCAACCCTGTTAATTGAATGCAGGCAACTTTTTGCAGCGGCCGTCAACACTGAAGTAAAGCTGCTTTCCTTTGGGGCGAACTCTCACGAGATGTTTTGGCAAAAATAAATATATGTATGCATGTTTATAGAGAAGGAGTCACACCTGTGAAGAGAGAGCAAATAGTATTCAGTTATTTACCGTATGCTGTGCGGAAAGATTCGCATCCGATTGTTTAATCTGATCCCGCAGCGTATTCTGTTGGATTTTGATCGCATCCAATTGTGTGGCCAGGCTCATGGCCAGCGCACTGCCGTTTGCTGATTGGGGATTCGCTGGCGCTGGTCCTGGGCCGGTTGCCGGACTCGCGCCTGCATTGGGCGGCCAGATATGCTGAGATTTCTGTTGCGCCTGCTGCATGCTGTCCTGGACATTGTCGTGCATGTTGGTCGGCTGTTGCGTCGCGTAGTGTGCGTGAGTTGGCGGCGGTTGTTGCATATAGAGCGCACCTGTGGGCATGCCGCCCTGTTGTTTCAGCACTATAGGGAAACGTTCAGTGAGAACCGGAATAAATGTATAACTTGTCGCTTACGTACTTGCCTGCTCCGCTGCCACACGGAACTGATAGTAGCTGGCGAATTCGCCGCCATAGAGAAATTCAAACTTTGGATTATTCTGTTGCTTTTGTTTGGTAATTGCTTCGAACTCGGGTCCATTGCGTGCCACAAATTCGGCCAATTTATCAATTATATTGCGTAAACTTGCATCTGTAAAACAGGTAAAAAGCACATCAATTTTTTTTTATAGCTGAGTTCTGCAACGTGCGTATGTGTGTGTGTGTGTGGGCAAAGATTTTACAAATATTCAGCTAACCTCTTGGGGGTTGAACATCCATTTTGCTTAGTATTCTGTTTTTTTTTACAAACTAGCTATTTTGTAGGCTAAGGCTTAAATAATCATAACTTTTAACAATTAATTCATCACTTTTTGCGGCGACCGCAAAGAATTTTTATCAGCACTCTTCTTCTTGCTTCTATTCAGACGCCATATTTAGAGCTGGAACGTTTGCAATTCGCCGTTTATCGATAGGTTTCGATAGAGAGAATCTCCGAAGAAGCAAAAATCGAGTAAATCGCTTTTCTTTTTGTAAAACCTGCCAGTCATTTTGCATTTTATTCAATTTTTTGAGAAAGTAAACATGGCAGTACGTGTTATTAACGACGAATCACATTTTCAAGCGGAGTTAGCTCAGGCAGGAGTACGCCTGGTTGTTGTGGACTTTACAGCAACATGGTGTGGACCCTGTCAAAGGATTGCGCCCGTGTTTGACACGTTTCCCAGTAAATATCCCAAAGCCATATTCCTGAAAGTGGACGTGGACAAATGCCAGGACACAGCCGCCGGCCAGGGTGTCTCTGCTATGCCAACTTTCATATTCTATCGCAACAGGACCAAAATCGACCGTATTCAAGGCGCCAATATAATGGGTTTGGAAGCCAAAATAGAGGAGCATATTGGCACCGGCGTCGCCGAGGAGGCCGGCGAAGATTATGGTCAGGGTTTGGTAAGACCATCGTATACATATACCAAATGTTTTTCCTAACGTGACTCACACACACACACACCCACACAGATGGAGCTGAATACGTTCATCTCGAAGCAGGAGTGCGAGTGCTTGAATGAGTCGGACGATCACAATCTGAAGCATGCTCTGGCGTCGGCTGGTGGCTATCTGCAGTCCGACTGCGATGAACAACTCATTTTGTCCATAACCTTTAATCAGGCCGTCAAGATACACTCGCTGAAGTTCAAGGCACCGCCACAACTGGGCCCCAAGGAGGTGAAGCTGTTCATCAATCAGCCACGAACCATTGACTTCGACATGGCGGAATCCATGAGCAGCGTGCAGGATCTGACGTGAGTTAACCACTTATTCAGCTAATTGGAAACATATATATATATATATATATATATTTGGTGCAATTTGCAGCTTGGGCGAGAAGGAGCTGGAGAACGGCAATCCCGTCAATCTGCGCTACGTCAAATTCCAGAATGTGCAAAACATACAAATCTTTGTAAAGAACAATCAATCGGGCGGCGACATAACCCAAATCGATTATATTGGCTTTATAGGCTCGCCCATTATCACAACCAAGATGACGGACTTTAAGCGTGTCTCCGGCAAAAAGGGCGAAAGCCACTAAATCGGTTAGCTTGATATTAAATTGAAGTTCTAGTGTTTTCCCCATCTTATTAACCAGGCTTGCTCCTTGTACTTTCGACTTAAAATTAAGCAAAAAAAAAAAAACTTATAGAAATGCATTAACAATGACAATTAATAACAAATAAAACAACTCAAGCTGGCAATTATTAATATCGCCCATCACAGGCTGCTGTGCGTCCGGCTGTCCAGCTCCTTGTTGAGCATTTGCCAGGCACGCTCCGCCTGCCGCTGCGTAAAATCAAAGTCCCACTGCGAGCTGAATATAACTTGGGACTTGGCCACAATATCGGCGTTGGGAACTTGACTTGCGAGACGTCTGCGCGCCTCTTCCTCGCTGAGATTGTTGCGTTCCATGACACGCTTGATAGCCTCCTCGGGCGGCACGATCATGGACCACACCTCATGGCAATTGGGCTCCCAGCCGGCTTTCAGCAGCACAGCTGCCTCCAGCACCACCACTTTGGGCACCTGGCTGGCGGTTCGCAAGTTAGCCAGACGTCTATTCACCTCCACCATCAGCTCCGGCCAAACGATGGAGTTCAGCGTGTGCAGCTCTTGCGGATTATTAAAGACTCGGGGCCCCAGCTTGGTGCGATCGATGCGCCCATCGCTGGCCAGTATCTCATCCCCAAAGTGCTTTAGTATCTTCTCATAGCACGTCTGACCCGGCTCGTATACATCGTGCGCCACCTTATCACAGTCGATGACATGGGCGCCCATGTCGCCCAGGCGTTCGGCCATTTTGCTCTTACCCGAAGCAATGCCACCCGTCAGCCCAATGATGTAGGGACGCACGGGCAGCTGAGGACGTGCCTGCTCAAAATAATAACAATTGAGAAACTTGCAAGTGCCGTGAATAAGTGAGGGGAGGTTACCTCCGGCTGGCGCCAACGTGTGCCCAGCAGATCGATGCGCGTGTTGCTGGAGCTGACCTTTGACTCGTGTATGCCGTCGTGCACATTGCTCTCGACAATATCAATTGCGAAGATATCCAGCTGACGCAGCTGTTTGCTGGCCCTTATCTCGTTGACCTTTTGGCCGCCACGCAGCGTCTCGGCGCTGACGACAATCATGTCCATGTCCGGATCGTGCTGAGTCGGCCCAAAGGGATCGTCGATGGGCACAATATCATATTGCAAGGTATTATCAATGTCCAAAAGGAATTCGCGCAATTCGGCAATACGCTGCTCCACGGGCAATATTAGTTCCGGCAATATTTTGCCTAAAAATAGACGCAAGTGATAAGTGATAAGGTAGATAAGAAAGTTGCCTTTTCATGTTAGTTTACCCTTAGTCATTGCGGCCGTGGTGACGCCCACTACCAGACGTTTGCAGGCCCGGAGCACGGCCTGAGTGAGGAATATTTTATGGCCAATGTGGATGCGATCGAAGGTGCCGCCCAATACCACTGTCGGGTACATTTGCTGACTGGCCGGCTGGCCTTCTGCTTCTGAAAGCTGTGCGTCCGTATTGTTAGTATCCCCCAGAAAAATCGTTGGCTGACTTATGTTAAGCACACGGCGCAGCCTATCGCAAAGCTCCGGCTGATGTGTGTCCGAGAATATCATATCAACGGGCTTGCATAGCTGCAGAGCGCAGACCGCCGCATGCTGCTTGAGCGGTGCCACCAGCACGCGCAGATCCACCTTATTGCCCACATAGCTGCTGCTGTCCGCATACAACTGTGATATAAGACGACCCCAAACAGGTGGCGGCGGCGTTGACGTGGGCACATTTAAATGTATGTACAGCGAGTGAACGTATTTTTCAATGCTGCGCAAGGATTTGCCCAATTGTTTAATGTTGGACACAACCAACAGTCCAGTTGAAGCCATCTTATTGTGTTTCCTTCGGCGGAGTCAATTAACCGCGGTACCCTGTGTACTTTGGACTGGGATTGTTATTGTCCCACCGATATATCAATATTATCGATAAGTGTTGGACAAGTCTATCGCATGGCAATTAGAGCTGCCACTTGGCTGAACTTTTTGGTACCAGGAATGTAAAGTGTACCATTTTCGAAAATTGTGTACGATTTGAATTCAAGAAGTTTTAACAGTTCAAAACATAAATGTATTAAATTTAGCGAATTTCATTTTCTGTGAAAGCAAGCATAATATTTTGCATATAAATCTAGTAAACTTTAAGTTCTTAGCAATTTCATAGAAAGTTTAAAGGCCTTTTCGGATAAAAGGTACCATTTGGTATACGATTAAGCCTGTGAGTAACTAATGTACCAGTTTGTACCAAACGATTGTAGCAACCGTGATAGCCGTGATTTCAATACAAATCTATCGATAAATATTTATATATATCGCAAAAGTGTCTCGTGTGTAGTACACCCACCACTGAAGAAAAAAGTTTTTCACGTATTTTGTAGCATTTTTATAATTGTAATAAGAAAAGCGACGCAAAATGTCACGACAAGCCTCCAGATTGGATGCCAAGAAAGTGGTAAGTTAACCACTGAAAGCAGGCTATAGACGACGACGACACCTAGTCGCTAGATTGTAAGATTAGCTATTGTTTGGCCTAGTCTAAGTACGAACCAATTGAAGTGCCACCCACCCTCAAAATCGGCTTCACATTCGCTTTTGCAGTAAGTGAGGGCGTGAGAGGGAAACGAGGCAAACAAAATAGCGCAACCTGCGCGCTATGGATAACCATTTTAGCAGTAACCGCACAACAGCCACAGCAACAAGAATGAGCAACGCTGCCGCCAGCAGCAGCAATAACAACAACAACAGCAATGTGAACAGCGCGACGGGCAACAATGTGAATACGGCAACGGCCACGGTTGGCGTCGGCAATGCCGGACAGCCTATACAGGTGATACCGATGCCGCTGCTGCCGGCGGGCGCAGCCCAGATCATAATTGGCCAACAGCCGCAGGCACAGGCCGGCGGCGGTGCGGCGGGCGGACTGCAGCCGCAATTGATACCCTTGCAGGCGAATCAAATAATGCTGCAGGCGCAACAGCAGCCGCAGATGCAGGTGATGCAACTGCCCGATGGCCAGACCATATTCTATCAGACGCCCACGATCGCACAGCTCGATCCCAATGCGGCGGCGGCAGCAGCAGCGGCGGCCGCAGCGCCACATTATCTCAACATCAACGGGCAATTGGTGCAAATCACGGCGGCGCCCAGTGCCGGCCAAGCGGCGCCCACAGCGGGACAACAGATCATAATGTTGCCGCAAATGACGACCGTAAATGCGGCTGCGGTGGCCGCCAATGCAGCCAGCAATGTGGCCCAGAACTGTAACAATGTGCAACAGCAACAACAACAACAACAACAGCAGCAGCAACAACAACAACAACAGGCTCAGGTGCAGGTGCAGCTGCAGACGACGACGCCGAGCACGCTGGGAGCCGGCACAAGCGCGAGCAATGCGAGCAGCGCCGATGTCAGCACCAGCACAACGGGCACGAACACAAACAGCGAGGATGATGATAACTCCAAGGGCGAGGCGGACGAGGAGCCGCTCTATGTGAATGCCAAGCAGTATAAACGGATATTGATACGGCGGCAGGCACGCGCCAAACTGGAGTCGCGCATCCCAAAGGAGCGCTGTAAATATTTGCACGAATCTCGGCATCGGCATGCAATGAATCGGGCGCGCGGCGAGGGCGGTCGCTTTCATTCCGCCCAGGAGAAGGGCGATCAGTCCGCTGGCATGGATGGTGTCAGTCTGCCGCTGGCCGCGAGCGGCGGTGCAACGCTTAGTCGGGGCACCGCGCGGGCGCCGCCCAAACTGATAGCACCGCACCAAACGCCGAGCATAACCATAACGGCCATCAAATCGGAATAGGCGGCGGAGATTGCGTAGATTGTTGTAGATAACACCTAACATAGTTCTGTAAACTTAACATAGCCATGTAGTCGTATATGTTAAGTCTAATGTTAAGCTCAGGTCATGACTCGTTTTTTTCAACTGTACACAATTGCAAATATATTTATATTTATTTAAATGTGTGTGCATATCGGTGCGAGAATGTTTTAAGTGACACGCGAAGTTAACGAAACAGCGCTGACCATGGAAATGTGTGTAAAAATAATAAACCCCAGGCTGAATTTTCCAAAACCAAAGGCATTTTCATCCTTGCGGATGCCAAAAAGAACACGCGCTGTTAACTTGAAAGCACTGTTAAATTAACAACACTGTTAACTTAACAGCACTGTTAACGATCACATTTGTTAAATATAAACTAACAAAAATAGTTGTAAAAACGGAATCTTACAGAATAAAACACATTATTTTGTGTATTTTAAAGCACGTTCAAACTTCTGTATAGACATAATCAACAGATTGCACCATTTGTGGGTACTGGATCGTTTTATTATTGGCTCAAATTGCATTTTCTTTTCATTTTCTCGTAAACACACGCACACACATGCAGAACTCGGAGTTCCTGACGCTCACGTACGGCGCACTGGTTACACAGATGCTGCGCGACTTTGAGAACGTTGAGGATGTGAACAAGCAGCTGGAAAGGATTGGCTACAACATGGGCATGCGCCTGATCGAGGACTTTCTGGCAAGGACATCGTCGCCGCGCTGCCTGGAGATGCGCGAAACAGCCGATCGCATACAGCAGGCATTTCGCATCTATTTAAACGTACAGCCCACCATATCCAATTGGTCGCCGGCCTCCGATGAGTTCTCACTGCTCTTCGACTCCAATCCGCTAACGGAATTCGTCGAGCTGCCACAAGATCTGACCAATCTACGCTACAGCGCCATACTCAGCGGCTGCATACGCGGCGCCCTCGAGATGGTCCAGCTGGAGGTGCAGTGCTGGTTTGTTCAGGTACATATATACATATATATAAACATATAATATAAATAATATTTTAAGGACTAGAACAAAGAGTCTGTCTATTTATGTGTACAGTGAAAGCTCCACTAAAGCGAACCAGCTTCCTTTAGCGAACATCTTTTCTTTAACTATCAAGCTGCTAGTTGGACTCCAATCAGATAACAGTAGCGAGCAAAACTCCAATTGGAATATCCCATGCCAGATCTGGCTTTAAATCGAACAATAATATTTTCTTACTTAAAACTAACATTTCCTTCAAGTTCCAAGCATCTAGTTGGAATCCAATCAGATCTAACCAGGACTAGCTTTAAAGTGAGCCAAAATATTTGCGTAAATCATAAAGGTACTGTAGTTATCAAGCTTTTGGTTGGAATCCAATTAGAATTCTACATACTAATCTAGCTTTAAAGCGAATAATTTTTTTTCCACTTGAATCTTATTTGAAATTTAACTAAAATAATTCAAAAACTTTTCCCTTTCACTTAAAACTAAAAGCTTGGCTAAAAAAAAGCTAAAATAATTCAAAAACTTGTAAATTTCTTAAACGAAATGGAAGAATTGCGCAAACATTCATTTACGTTTATTTAACTTCAACAAACATAAGAAATTATGTTTAAATATGAATGAATGTAGGCTTGATTTTTATTTTTTAGTTGTTTGTCATTTGGTGTCCGCTCAAGAGAGTTTTCACTGTACGTGTGTGTGTGTGTGTGCGTGTGTGTGGAATACTTTTTGGTTGCTGTTCCTTCAAGCCGTTTATTTTGTTTTGCAGGATCAACTGAAGGGCGACAATGTGACGGAGCTGCGTGTTAAACTCGTGCGACGTCTAGAGGAAGCCATACCAGCTGGCGAGGATTAGAGATAGACAAACATACACATATATATATAGAGAAAGTGACACATACAGAGAGAGAGAGCGAGAGAGAGAGGGAGAGGGAGAGGGCGCTTCTCATTTAGGATTTATTAACATTTTCTATACCAAGCTGCATTCCGAAGCGAAGGCGCGCGTCTGCACAACACGAAAACAACAACAATAACGGCATATTAATTATTATTATTAAAAAATAAATAAATAAAAAGGAAACCAGTTTTAGTTATATTTTTATTCGACTTTATACAGTTGGTTTAATGTCAGTTATAAAATATATATAGTGTATACATCAAGTAGTCGTATATAAAGCAATTCATGTTGAATTCAAGGCGTTACGGTTAACTGTTTGCTGCTCTACCCTTGCAGGGTTCATAAGTACTATGTGACGAGTGTTGTGTAACGCTCCAAGGGAGATAAAAATCATAGGGTATGTATGCATATATACATGTATGTGCCTGATCAGATTGAATATAGCGCGAAATCTGATATAGCTGCACTTATAAATTGTAGTAAACTTTTAATAGTTTGACAAAAACGGATTAAAGTCAGACCGAAAATAGGTTTAAGAACTGATCTACTTTCAAAGAAAGCTTAGAATTGGCTACCAAGCCTAACTGCAAGAGCATTTCAACTTCGGCATGCCGAAGCTAAGTTTCATTAATTTTTGTTTTGTTTAAAAAATGTTACAATATTTTATACAGGTGTTAAAAGTTTGGTGCCTGCAGTATTACTTATAAGATCTTAAGCGTTAGAGTTAAAGCGGCAATAATTGTATTTGAATTAAGTTTGATTGTTTTAGTGTAGGCGGCTTTTGTTTAAGTTTTGGAGCGCGGCCAGCCGACGTTGGGTTTTGCATTTGTTTTTATTTAACAACTAACAACAACAATAACAAAATAATTGTAATTTTCATTCATTTTTTACATGGAATACTTTCTCATAGGCACAATACAATACTTGGTTACACGTTTAAAGCTTTGGTTTGTCAATTTAGCTATTTTCCAGCTAAATTTGGCTAACAGTTTAAATTTTAGGCTGACCGCCATTTTATGGCAAGTGCACTAACAGCCCTGCTTTCAGCTATTTCTGGCTATTTTCAACATTGGAGTTTAAATTGTAAGCTGTCCGCCATTTTTTGGCAAGTGCACTAACGACCCTGCTTTCAGCTATTTTTGACTATTTTCAACATTGATTGCAGCTACTTTTTTTATGTGGCACTTGACAACACTGCTCGGGGTACACTTTGGGCTTTGTTGTTGTAGTTAAAATTATTGTTGTTGCTGGCGGCGGCCTTATTTAATTCTGCTGCGGGCAAAGCATTAGGTTGAGGTTCCGGCGCGTCAGAACTTTGCGCAGGGCTTGCAGCGTTTTCATGCAGATGACGACACAACAGCCATTGGCCACGCCCTCAGCGGGACTCTTGCATGTGCAGGAGCTGCTCTTCAGAGCGGCGCTGCCGCTGATCACTGCAGGCGGCGGCTGCGCCTTAACCGAACAGCAGCTGGCGCTGGGGGCAGGCGGCGTGCTGCAGCAGCCGCCGGCAACTGGAGCTGCGGGCTTGTTGCTCGAGCAGCAGCCGCCGGCAGCTGCTGGAGGCGCCGGAGGAGCAGGAGCACAACAGGCGCCTCCTGTTGTGGCGCAACCACAGCCGCCGGCAGCTGCAGGCGCCGCTGGCTTGGTAGCAGCGCCGCCGCCGCCGCAGCCGCCGCTCATGGAGGCCAAATTCTGGAGCAGCAAAGCAACATCCTCGATGTTTTGATTCATTTCCGCTTCGCGTTTACTCACTTTTTTGCTGGCGGCGCTGCCGCATATGCGCTTGCCATGGGAGCTGGCTGCTGCTGTCGTCGTGGTCGTAATTGGCTTGGCCCTCGGCGTGGAGTTGGAGGCGCCGCCGCCGCCGCCGCAATCGCCGCCATGACAGCTCTTGGTCTGATCACACTTGCAGTTGGTGCAATTGCAGATGCCCGCATCTGCTGTGATCTGCTTGAGCGTTGGCTTATTGTCCCGGATGTCCAGCTCGACGAGGCCGGAGGCATCGTTGGGCACCTGCGAGGCCTGATGCAGCGTCGCCTGGAGCAGGGCGCTGTTGTTGTCAATGGTCATGAGTATATCATTGAGCAGCGATTCGGTTTCCATGTCCTCGTCGTTGTCATAGCTATCATCTCTGAGGAGCTCCTCAATGTTCTGCGGATTCAGCTCGAGCGTGGGCAGCGCAGAGCTGGACACGTTTGTCGCCTCCACGTTTGTGCTGTTCAGCATTTCCACGTCGAGCGGCGCTGCTAGCTCCTCCATGTTGCCGCTGACGGCGCTGCCAAAGTTCGCCTTCAGATCCACAAAGCTGGGCATTTCGGTGGGCAGCGCCACGCAGGCATCGGTCAACGGTGCGCTGGCCATGATGGGCTTGGAGACGAGCACGCCGGCATCGATCCAGGGACTGGGCAGCTCCTCCTCGGCGGCATAGGACAGCGGATATGCCTGCGATGTCTCCGGCAGCATGAACACATTCGACAGCTGTTGCAGGACAACGCCGCTGTCGTTGCTCGTGTTCTCCGAGCTCTGGCTGCCCGGATTGAGTAGCACCATGTCTGTCTTTTGTAGCTCACCCTGCTGCAGCTGCTGCTCCCGCTGCTGCTGTTGTTCGAGTAGCAGCAATTTCTGTGCACGCTTCGACTTCTTCTTGGTCTTGTTGAGATGCGTCTTCTTGTGCGATTTGAGGCTGTGCGATGTGCTGAACGACTTCTGGCAGCTGTCCTCCTGGCAGGGATACGGCTTCTCGCCGGTGTGCGTGCGCCGATGCGTCTTCAAATGATGGGACGCCGTAAAGGCCTTGCCGCAATCGTCCTCCGGGCACTTGTACGGACGCTCCTGGGTATGGGTGCGCATATGCTTCTTCAGGTCGCTGAGCGTCGTGAAGCACTTCTGGCACATTTCGCAATTGAACGTCTCGCCATTGTGCAGACGCAGGTGGGCGTGCAATCTGATCAAGAGAACAATACAAACATTGATTAGCACCAATATCTATAATTTCTATATTTAGCTACTTGCCTGTATCGCGTGTTGAAGGCCTTATCACAGCCGGACACTTCGCACTCGTAGGGCTTTACCTTGGTGTGGACGCGCACATGGATTTTAAGGCTGTACGAGGTGAGAAATGCCTTGTTGCAGCCCTCCTCCGTACACTTGAAGCTGTAGTCACCTGGCAATTGAAACAAACACACGCTTAATCAGACCAAATTACGTTTATTTCTATTACTATCTTCGCTTTTCAAGTTTGCCCGCCCAGTCAACGGCAACGGCGCACAAAGCAAGCGCACAGCGCTGCCAGTGTTGGCAAGCATGGTATCATAATACAAGGTTGACAAATTTGTTGGTCTGACCATTTATCATTTACCAAAACAGAATTGTATAGGCCAGAGTAGAAGTAAGGAGAAATATAAAAGAGTACTTTCAGTCTTATTTTGTGGTTAATAATAAGCTTAGTCTATTGCAGTAAAAGATTCTCTACTTGCTTTTAGCTTAGCCGTTTACTATTTTTCCGAAATGACATGACGTCACGGGTCTTCATTGCATGCATAACATGCCTGTCTCTGTGCAGTGCCAGTGTTGCCTAACAGTGGAACAGCGAACAACTGTTTGCGTTCGCCCGTCGCAGCGCACGCACGCATGCAACTTGTTTTTTAAAACGCTTTTTAAAAATATATAACAAAATGTCGGATATAGAGGAGAAATTAATTAAAAGTGTGAAGCAACAGGCGTGCTTGTATAATAAATCAAATTCTGGTTTTCGCAATCGCCAAAAAAGAGACAGAGCATGGGCACAAGTCTCAATGGAATGTGGACTGCCAGGCAAGTACACACATACATACACACACACTTGCACATTTACATGTGTGTGTACGTGAGCCCGGCGAATAAATTGCAAAGTATTTTATTTTGTTTACAGTTAAACAAAGCCAATGTCGCTGGAAAACACTGCGCGATCGTTTCGTGCGCGAATGCCACAAATGCAGCGATTCACAAATGGATTCCAGCCACTGGCGATACTTCAAGCAGCTCCAATTCCTGCTGGAGCACATCAAACCACGCGGCTGCGGGTAAGATTTGCGACAAGGAGCTTTAATCTGCACCTTTTACATATATTCTGTACGATTGCAGTAGCCTGGATGACCAACAACTAGACTTAGAAGTCGATCTATCACTTGACAATGACGAAACAAATCGCAGCTACTCTAGCGATCCGCACTGCAAGAGCGAGGCCAACGGGGATGATCCGCTGAGCGAGGCATCGTCCAGCCCAACGGAGCAACCGCCGCTGGGTCTGGAGCAGGCACAAGAGGAGTTTCTCAGAGTAATGGGACTGCTGGAGACCGTCTTGGCGCAGAAGCCGTCGGATGTGCCTCAAGCAGATCCCTTCTACAAATATCTCGAGAGCATTCTGAGTCGCGTGGAGGCAAACGCACGCGCGGACATCCAATTGGAAATACTCAATTATGCCAATCAGTTGGTGAAGAATGCAAAAACACAAAGTGCCAGCTAATACATAGAGATAGTTATAGGATAAGCTGAAGGGAATGGTAGATACCCTGTGCTTAAGGATAAATCGAATTAGTATCAACTGGAGATGGACAGCGATTTGTATCGATAACAAGAATATCGATAATTAGCAGCGAATCTGATTACATTTTCGTATTACATTTCGAATTTAACGTCTGCAGTTCGTAACGGCTCCGAGAGATACCTTAATTTTTATCGATATTTGTTTCGATATCGAGCACCCATGGCAGCTATCGATAATTGGCAGCGAATCTGTTTACATTTTCGTATTACAATTCGAATTCGATTGACATATATTTAGACTAGTTTTCTAATACTTAGTTTATATAAATAACTAGAACTAGAATTGTTGTCGATAAGGCTACGAAACTCACCTGTGTGTGTTTTTAAATGCGTGCGCAGATTCCCGATGGTGCTGTAGCTGCGATAACAGTTTTCGTAGTTGCATTTGTAGCGGCTCAGAGCTTCGTCCGAGCTCTGCGCGTCGGGATCGAAGAATAGACAATAAATATTAGTTAAATGAGCCAATTGGATTCGATCGAATTGAGTAAGAACTATGTACAAAGTCGTCTTTAGGTCGTTAGGTATTATGTTTAATGTACTTCGTAAGTCGGATAATAAATATTAGTATAACAACTAAGTGCATGCAGTGTGTGTGCATGTGCGTGTCTGTGAGTGCGTGCGTGTGTGTGTGTGAGAGAGGAATTTGTAGTTGGATGAGTTTTTAATGGTGTTTCGAGGTGTCGAAGGGTTCGGCTAAAACTACGCACCAAGTTGATTGTTTGTGAATGCGAAACAAATTGTGGTTAACATAACTGTGAATTAGACGCCTAGCGGTTGATTGGTTGGGCGGGGCATTGGGTGCGCCCGCACCCGGCCCCGCCCCGCTGTCTATAGCTCTAGGATTAACGAGGCGTTTGTTTTTTTTTCTTTTTGCTACAAGCGGCGTTACAAAAACGTTAAAATTAGTTAAACACAAAAATTTGCGACTGTTTGTGTAATATATTTTTAAGTTTTATTTTTGGCGTGGGCGTGGCTTTGCTTGGAAATGGGGGCTGAGTACCTCGTACGCCATCGCCATCAGCTGATCCTCGTCGGCGTCCTTGTGCAGTGCGCCCGGATGGATGCAGTGTACCAAGTCATCCTCCTCATCTGGCTCAGTTGGATCTTCGATAAAGCTGCAAGATCGTTCGTTCGATTATCTCTCTCTCTTGCTCTCTCTCTTTCTGCTTCGTTCAATTTGTGTCAGTGGGCCGTTATAAAGATGTATTTACATATATATCTATACTCAAAACAATAACTGTACACATACATACATACACACATACATACAGTAATCTATCGCATATAAGAGCTAGCAGAAAAGCAAATTCCAACTTTTTGCATTCAGCCTCTGATTGAGGTACTTAATTTTTTTGAAATATACATATATATTCACGCGCCTGATCTATTGAAAATATTGTAAGCAATACATTTTTTCATATACAAAATGTGCGCTAGATTTGATCTCTACCCAAAATTGGCATATATCAAATGTGATTGGATAAATGCAATAATTGGGGCCAAAATTGTTTATGCTTTGTTTTTTTTTTACAGTAAATGTATATATAAAAGTATCACAAATTAAAATCAAGTTAAAGATTTCAAAAATGTAAATAAAACTGGATTAATTCAAGTTAAATCATTTCGCAAATATTCCATTCATGAACTCTCGGCTGGAAACGACGCGTTCTCATTTGCGAGCGATCACTGTACTTGCAAATTTGATATATGTATGTATGTTTACATGCATGTATTCGTATGTGTGTGTGTGTGCTAATTAGTGAGGTTAAGTCGCAGCCAGCAGAAGAAAAAACTCCATTAACAAACAGTTGACAACCAGCAAAGCAGAAACATCAGTCAAAACAAACAACAAAAACAAAACAAAAAACAAAAAAAAAAGAACAACGGATTTGCTGAGCTGGAGACGCCTTAAGTCTTTTATAATAAGCTGATTAATTCATATTTAATATTGTCATGGTCAAACACGACGTCGCCGAAAACTATAAAGGAAAATTTGAAAGAAAACACACAACACACAAACACACACACACACACACATGGCGAAAACAACAACAAAAATATAGAATTTTCGAAATTAATGTGAGGGGGCGTGAGCATGCCCAACTGATGGGCAGAGAGAGGGGGTGTCGAGAGCAGCACCCTGTTCCCTCCCATCGGACTGTCCACTACAAACACACGCTGTCCCTGTCACGAACAGAACTGTTAGCTTACACCGGCCCCGCCAACCAGCCCTAATCTCAAGTATCGCGCGAGTGCTGAAAAACGAGAAATATGATTGAGGTGAACACTCATAGTGATAAAAATAGCGCAACGTAGACGTAGAGGGTCGGACAGTGCGGACAGCACAAAAAGAACTTATATTCAAAAATGATTATTATTGTACTAAAAATGAGAAGCAACTACAAAAATCTGAGGCTAACCACGTCATTAAAAATCATTTAAATTTTTTACTAATTGGAAGTGGTCAAATTGCATCTGCACCCAGTTGGATGTGGTGAAATTAGGCAAATAAAGACAAAGGATCAAAATAAATAATTAAACTGTTGCCCATCCAATCAGAACGCATTTTGTACTTTAACGTTGTGCTGAAATCTAGTTGGAGTTAGTGATACCGTTACAATTGTTTACTATACATTTCCCATTCCTTATGAAGTGTTATACAGAAAGTATCACATATCCAATTAGAGCAGCAACGCCAGGTAATCCGTGAGTATTTATCTAATTGGATATGTACGAAATAGGTACAACTAAAACAACACCAAAGTACATTAAAATGGGAATTTCCCAAGCAAATAGCAATAAAGTTCTGTCTAAGTTATGGAAAATTACAAAAAACAGCCCAAACATATAAACTCCAATCAGAACCAATGACTTAACTTCCAATGGGCGCTGATAAGAAAAACAATTATTGTTGTGTGCGTAATTTACTTGAACGATAATGTTATAAAAATAAACACAAATTGAAAACTCGTTTTAAAAAACATAATATATGGAGCAAAAATAGATATATTGTGCTATATCAAGTGCTCCACTTGATGGAATATTCTCGATTAGAATTTCACAATGGCCAGTCTAATTGGAAATCGTCTAATTTACAGCTAGTGTGAATGAATATGAGAAAAAAAATCGCGTTTTTCTTGTTGTTGTTGTTGTTCTTACACATCGAGTATGTATACATAATTATATATATATATATATGTATGTGTGTGTATTTTGTAGTGGGGGGAATATCTAAATGCGTTCATCGGCATAATTATTTTTAGACCAAACAAACAATTTGGATACAATCATCGGGCAGCAGAAGACGGACTGCAGCCGCAGCAACAGTAGAGCAACAAAAACCGTTATATTCCCAAGCATCGAGTACATACACAATATGCACATATATATATATATATATATATATATATGTATGTATGTATTGGTATGCAGCAGAGGTGGGTGAACACCGGCGAACAGAAATCAGGCAATTAGCAGACAACATGCTAGCATTTCGGACACTTAACGAACGTGCGTTGTAATAAGTGGACATTGGAATTGTTCAAAAAATTGCAAGGGGCCAAAGAAATATCTGCTTTTTATGGCCGAATTTCGGGTCTAATTAGTCGAGACAAAAAAAAAATAAAAATAAAACAAAGAAAAAGGGAACGAAAATTAGACAAGGAGAACAATAATCAATGTCTGTATATGTGTATATGGCCGGGCACGTCACATTAAAGCAGACGATAGAAACATGCAGCAGAACATTTGTGTGGGCAGTGGAAAATTTAGTCATGAGCGGGGGTCAGCAACAGACAGAGCAGACAGGACCAAAGTGCAAACACCTGGCAACATTTTTTTTTTTTAAACTTAATTTGGTTTATTTTGCGCTGGAATCGATCAGTGCCTTCTGATCTCTACCAAGCGGAGTTAAGGGTATAGTGTATAGTTATTATTTAATAACTTAAATGGGGCAACATTTAAATTAAATAAAATGCACCAGAACTATCGATAAGCATTCTTAACGAAAGCACGTATAACAACTAATGTCTACATAAACAGTAAAAGCTATAAGCAATAAGCAATAATCAAAGGTATCGATAAGCATTGACAACAGTAGCAGTGTTGCAAAGCATGCAATGCGTGGGGGAGTGGGGGCGGGGGCTGCCAGTGCTTACTACCTCGTCCCGAGAGTGAAATATGCAGTAGTAGTAGTAGCAATAGGAGTTGGTGTAGAGTTGTTGTTGTCGCTGCCAGTTGTTGTTGTTGTTGGTGGTGGTAGTTCTTCGCTTGCCGGTATCATGCTGAAGGACACCACTGTAGGTGGCTGCACCTGAACGAGCTTTTGATTTTGAAACTGATATTCCAGAGTAAAACAAATGTCATCTAGATTGTATGTGTCGACAGCTGTTGCATTTGTTGTTGCTGCTGCTGCTGTTGTTGTTGTTGTTGCTGTTGTTGTGTGCTGTGATGAATTTATGGGCATGGCTATGGGTGTGGGTGTGGCTGTGGATGATGCTGTGTCTGAGGTGGTATTGGTGTTGGTGCTGGTTAGCAACAGGGGTGCACTTGCGAGCGGTCTCAGTGTGAACAACGCCGCGTCGTCAGCTATGTCAACTATTTTGTCGTTGTCTGTATGTATCGTCTGTGCCGGCACCTCCTGCAGCAACGTGTACGTTGTTGTTGTTGTTGTTGTTGTTGCTGCCGCCGCTAACTCATCAACGTCCGCCTCAAGTTCTAAACTTATGCCTAATGGTTGCAGCACCTGTTGCTCCCCAGCCGTGTGACTGTAAATGCTGCTGCTACTGCTGCTGCTGCTGCCGCTGCCAACGTCCGCATCCAGCTTGGGCGCCAGCAGCGATGCCAGCAGCGCTTTATCCTCGAAACCATCAAAGTCCAGCTGCAGCGTTGACGACGTGATGGGCGGCGAGCCCGTTAGCGAAGTGCGCGTCGAGTTTGTATCATAATCCCTGCTGTCTGATAAGGAATTTCCATGATTGGACGACTTCCAGCTGTGCTCGAAGTACTGTTGCTGTTGTTGTTGTTGTTGTTGTTGTTGCTCGTCGTTGCTTGCATCCATTTTGTACTTATTCTAGTATATCACATAAACACACACACACGCACACTTCTCACTGATAGACATGTATTTTACGCATGCAGTTTAATATTATTTTTTACTTATATCACTGCGCAATGCCGATACATATATACATATGTATTACAAAAGAAATTAGATTTAGATTTATAAAGAGCAACACAGCGGCGATCCGAACAAAATAATCACGTCCACGCAGCGCAACAACAAAGATAAGACTAGCGATGGTAGTGGGAGTGTAAAACTTAAATCGATATATCGATGATGTCACTAGTGATGATGATTGCTTTTTAACAGAAAGATCTCCTTAGACTCTTATGGGCATTCCCTTAAATGATTATCATAAGCACTTTGAATCCGATTGGAGAAGAGGCCTGTAAAATTAATATTATAAGCTGTGTAATAGTTGGTAAATTAGGCATAAAGCAAAAGAAACAATTGCAGGATATAATAAATGCCTATGCTTATCTTCTTAGGTTAAATAAAATATTCATTGGTAACATGATTATATTAAGGGAACTGGTGAGATAAATTTAATTAGCAGTGAGTTGTGGCAGATATCAGTACAACATAACCAGAATACTAATGAATATTCTAAAGGATGTATATTAAATCAAGAATCATACGGTATACGGCGAGCTCAAATCAAATGTTCGCGCCTTAAGTCTGCGTTAAAAGTATCGATATCGATACCACATTTAGTTCGGTCACACTGCGCGCAGAGGCAAAGGCAGTACATATACAAAATTCATTGATTTTGTCAACGTAAAACATACAGCGCATAGCTGCACAGGCAGAGCATATAAAGTGAAGATAGTTAACTAAATTAGGAACGCAGCTGGAACCAGGCACAAAATGCAAGACTGGCAAGCCACAAACGTAGAACTGTGAAGACACACGCCAAGCAGAAACCAGCAAGAGTTTCGCTGTGCTGCTGAACAAAAATTCCCAATAAGAAAGAAGTGCAAGAAAAAGAGCATACGGTGTAAAAGGAAAAGCAAGCAATAAAAAGAAAAAAAACGAAACGAAAAATTTCAACAATATAAAAGCAAATCAAAACATGACAATCGTTGTACAAGATTAATTATTGTGGCAATTGTGGCGCACCAGCGGCCGGCCGTAAAATGCCAAGGATCACTTGCAGGCCAAGTGAATGTGTAGCTAACGGTAATGGCAACAACAACAACAACAACAACAGCAGCGATAAGGCTAACGGTAACCATGATGACAGCGGCGCAGCAGCAGCAGGCAGCAGCAGCAGCAGCAGCGGCAGCGGCTGCATCGTCAAGCAGGAGCTGGATGCGGCGCCGCCCGTTTGCCACAGAAAATCGGAGCGTCGAAAAATCGCACGCGACATTTTTCTGGTCTTCGAGGAGCAGCCGACGCGACGTCGACGCGGACGGGGCGGAGCGCGGGGCACGCGGGCCAAGCAGAAATTTGGCCACCTAAAAGTGGCTAATACGCCGCGCATCAACAAGAATCTGTTGCGTGACATCAAAACGGAACCAAAGTGCAGCGCGGCAGCAGCAAAGCCAACAGAGCAAGAGTTGGAGCCGGAGCCGGAGCTGGAGGCGGAGCTGGAGCTGGAGCCGGAGCCAGAGACGGCGGCGCTGCCGGAGCCGTTGCCGGAGAGGCCCAAGGCCAAGCTGGCCGCCGTGAAACTTGAAACCAAAACAGCATCAAATGCATCAGGAGCAGCAGAAACTGCGCCACCGTCTCAGCAGCAGCTGCCGGCAGCAACAACAGCTCCAACTCCCGCCACGCCCAGCGTAAATCCCATCTTCCTGTGGGTCAAGCAGGACGATACGCGCATTGTGGAGGTGCGCTGCGAGGATTACGATAAGCGTAATCGTATACGCCTGACGAAGACTACGAATGGCTGGCGTTCTATGCCGCGCACCGATGCCTCATCCAGTCGCATTGTCAAGTTCTTCCACAGCACGGCGGCGGCGCCCTTGCTGAAGGTCAAGCGCGAGCAGCTGCAACAACAGCAATCCATGGAGCAGGAACAACAGCAAGAGGAGGACGACTCCGCGGAGCAGCAGCAGCAGCAGCAGGAGGAGTGGACTGTTGTGGATCAGGAGCAGCAGCAGCAGCAGCGGGAGGAGGACGAGCAGGAGCAGCACGCTAACAATCTGGCCGCTGTCATTGAGCATGTTGTTGTTGTGCCTGCCCAGCAGCAGGAACAGGAGCAGCAGCAGCACCCGGCTACGCCCACGCCCTCGGCGGATGCCTGCTTCGATGCGCTGCTCGACAGCGAGACGAATGCCTCGACCCGGGCCACCAAGACTAGCACCAGCAATGCCAATACGCCCACATATCAGAGCTCCCGCTCACGTTCCCGCTCCCGTTCACGTTCACGCACGGCCACGCCCACGGCTGCGCCACTAGAGCTGCAGCTGTGCCCCAAGACGGGCCTGTTTCTGCCCAAAGGAGCAGCTGCAGCCGCCGCTGCCGTCGCTTCGGCTGCACCTCTAGAGCAGGAGATGGAGCTGGAGCCGGAGCCGGCCAAGCCGCTGGCGGCGCACAGCAGCAGCACCAGCACCAGCGTGGATCAGGCTAATCTCGAGGCGAATAGCAAGCACTTGAAGGATCTGCTGGACGATGCCGACGATCTGCTGCAGAACTGCAGCAGCGACAATGGGAGCAGCGGCGCCGAGCTCCTGGATTCGCTGGTGCAACGCAGCTGCGAGGACAACCTGATGCAGGAGACCAGGCAACAGCAGCCCGAGCTGCAGCTGGCCGCCAAGGAGCTGCCGGGCATTTTGGGCATGGACAGCAGCGATGCGGGGCCCAAGTGCCTGTCCTTCAATGAGGCCGGCGAGATCGAGGGACTCAACGGTGAGCTCTTCCTGGGCATCGATAGCTTCGACAAGCAGCCCGAACCGGTAACGGAAACGGAGACGGAGGCGGAAGCGGACGCCGTGGCAACTGTACAGCCGGAGCTGATCGCTGTGCCGGATGAATCGCCCAAGGATTTGAGCTACAAGAAGCGCGAGGAGGTGTGCCCGCCGTCGGAGTCGCGCAGCCAGTGCGCGGTAACCTCCAGTTCGGACATCCTGAAATCCAAGTCGCCGGAACCAGAGTTGCTGCAGCTGCCAGCGACCAGCATACCCGCCGAGGTGGAGACCACCTCGGAGACGATCAAGCATCTGATACTCGAACAGTTTCTCAAATTGAACGGGAACACGCAGCACCAGCAGCAGCAGCAGCAGGCGGAGCCCATGGATCTGGGCAAGGCGACGGGTCGCGCCGGCGACAAGCTGCACACGGTAGTCATCGATGACGAGGAGGAGACGGAGGCGACGGCGGCATCGGCAACGGCAACGGAACCGACGGAGCCATTGAAAAAACGATCGAAACCTATCAAATTGGATAAGGATCCGGATGCACTGACCCAGCTAAAGATGCTGATCAGCAATCCGCAGTGGAAGGTGCCCGATCCCATACTCGTGCCAAAGGATCGCCTCGGCGCGGTGCTCGCATCGCCGGCACGCGAAATCCCGCTGCTGCTGACGACACGGCCAGAGCTGCGACTGCCGGAGGCCTTTGCCTATCCGGAGATTATACAGAATCCCAATATATTGGTCGTCACCATGGAGCAGCTGGAGGCCATACTCAAGAACGACTCCGAGCAGTCCAAGCCGAGCCTCTGTCAACCCGTGCATGCCTCCGCCGTTGCCGCCGCTGCCGTCGCCTCCGCCTCGCCCTGCCCCCTGCCTCCACTGCAGCCGAGCAGCAAGGCAGCCGTTAGTCCTAGTCCCAGCCTGATAAAGCATCCGCCAGCTGCAGCCAAGGCAACGCCACCGTTGCCGCCGTTGCCATTGCCACAGCTGCCCATTAAGACGAACCCGGCCACGCCCAGTTTGGCCGCTGCAGTGCCTCAATCCTCGCCAGCAGCCGACTCGAGCATGTCGCAGGAGCTGAATGCGACCACGCTGGCGCTGCTGCAGCAAATGCTCTGGCTGCCCTACTTTGGCCAGCTCTCGCAGGAGTTCTTCAAGACTTTGAAGGATCCCCTCGGACTCCAGCGCAAGTTTATGAGCAACCTGCTCCCGCTGTACAACAGCCAGTTTGGGCTGCAGCATCTGGACGAGCTGTACAAGCACTGCCTTAAGCAGAAGACCGCCAGCAGCGAGGAGCAGGCGGCGACGCCCGCGACGACACCCAAGCAGCCGGCGGCGGCGGCGGCGACGGCGGCTTTTAATGGCTACACCAATCCCATGGAGCTGGCCTTTATGCAGAAGCTGCTCCAGCAGCAGCAGCAACAGCAGCAGTTGCCCAAGTCCTCCCCGCAGCAACATCTGCATCTGGAGCACAAGCGCGCCAGACGCGATACGGACGCCACGCCCCTGCACATACCCGACTTCAACAAGCAGGTGCCCAAGGCGACGCCTCCGCCCGCTGCAGCTCCAGTTGCTCCGCCCGTAGCAGCTCCAGCTTCGGCTCCGGCTGCTGCGCCGCAGGAACACAAGCCGCGCCTTACATGCAAATCGCTGTCGAATCTGCTGGAACCCGAAAGCAATATGGTGCCGCTGCTGCAAGTGCCCTACGATGCAGTGCGTCGCAACTCCCTCTACAAGCAGCAGGCGGCGCAGCAGCAGGAGCAGCTGGGCAAGGATACCAACAACGGACGCACGCTGCGCAGCAGCAAGGCCTGCATCAACTACCAGCCCATGGAGCAGGCCAAGCAAACCAGTCAGAGCCAGCAGCAGCAACAGTTGCAGTTGCAGCAACAGCAACAGTTGCAGCTGCAGCAACAGCAACAGTTGCAGCGGAAGCGGGGCAACATGTTGGCGCACGAGGTGCAGCAGCAGCAGCATTTGGCAGAGGCAGCGGCCGCCGCAGCCGCTGGCCTGGACGCCAACTCGGCGCTGTGGCATCCGCTCTTCGGCAGGTCAGTCAAACAGTTCACAAGCCTGAGTTTTCATTTAAATTCCTTCCTCTCTCGACAGCAATCCCAAGCAGGGCTATAATAGCCCCTGGCAATGGACGACAGTGACGGCCACCGGCGAATGACAGTCAAGCCGGGCTCACAAGGAGCCAGCGCCAACGGCAGCCAACAGCTACGAGGAGCAACCACAGCTCGACTACAACAGCAGCAACGGTTGCAGCTACCACGCAGCAGCAGCAACAGTTGCCAAGCAGCAGCCCTCAGCAGCAGCTGCAGCAGCAGCTGCCGTCAGCAACAATCAAAATAATCACAGCAATAAATTTTGTTATCCGGAGAACATGTTCCAAAACAATCAGCTGCTCAACTCAGGTTACGTCGCAGAGCAGGGCTACTGGCAGCAGCACCAGCAGCATCAACAGCAGCAACATCAACAGCAGCAACACAAGCAACAGCAACAGCAGCATCAGCAACATTGGAGCAGCAGCAACAGCAACAACAACAGCAGCAGCGGCAGCGGCAGCTATGCGAATAACTATGCCGCTGCGGCAGCTGCCTCAATGTACATGCAACACTTTAATCCCTACATGCAGCAGAAGGCGGCGCTGCTCGCCGAGAAGGCCGCGGCGCAGGCAGCAGCATCTGCGGCGCACGGCAGCAACAGCAGCAGCGGGAGCAGCAGCAACAAGCACGGACGCTACGCAGGCGACTACGGTTGAGGTGTACCGGAGCACACCTGTGTCCGGGTGTCCGGCAGCACAGCTGGAGCGGAGCGAGGCGCGTTCATTTAACCAAATCGCATATTAACATAGATCATATATAGGAATAATAACTACGTGCATAATAAACTATACCCGGCGCAATGGAGGCCGGCAACGTATAGGCCATTTTAACGCAAGGAATTGCCAAGGAAATACGTTTCCTTTAATTAATTAAATAAATTAATATACAACAAACAAATTAATTAACAACTGCAACAACAAGGTAAACGGCAAGCAACAATAATTATAAAGAAAAAACAAAACAAAAATCTAAACAAAAAAAAAACAACACACACAATTAGTAAAAATTTGTTATTGGTAGTTTGTTAAAAAAAGGTAAATTAAAAAAAAAAAAAAACAAAACAAAAACAAAATATGTAGATGAGGCAAATGGAAGCAACAACAAAAAGAAAACCTAATTATTGTATTATTGTTAACCCAAGCTGCGTTATATTATTATTATGATTATTATTATTATTATTATTATTAACTCGTGTGTGTGTATATAGCGTTTTTATCTAGATGTATTACACTTAGTAAAACCCCATAAGACCCGCCCCGCCCCACCTCCATAACCCTAATCCTATCCTGAATCCTTCACAACGCAGCGCTAAAAAGGCAAACAATTTTGTATTCATTCCGCATTAAGCAAAGCTACAAAAGGAAGGTTTCTTTTTTGTTTACCCTATACAATTATTATTATTATTATGATTATTAATATTATGCTTATTATTTATACGTGAACCGAATCCCTTAAAAATGTGCAATCTTACATAAATGTATTTATGTTTTAGCAACAAAACAACAAAACAAAACAAAACGAAACGAAACACAACACAAGAATCACAAAAACTTATAACGAGAAATGGCAAAGAAGAAAAACACATGAAAAATAAAGAAAAACCTTTTAGAGAATTTCGCTGATAAAGGCAACAGAATAGCAAAAAAAAAAAACGTTTAAGCTGCCTTTTTTTAATGGTTTGGACTGCGTTTAACTCTGGTCAAATTTTGGATAGTTATTAATCTATTTATTTTTGAATGAGTTGCCCGTTCTGCTGAAAATATTGCAAGCCGTAAATATTTTCATATAGAAATCACGGGCTATATTTTGATCCACAGCCATCTGCTCGACTTGGTTAGACATATCCAATAGCTGGGTTATGTCTGAGCCTGGATTTTAATCAAAAGTTTTTCATTTCGGAGTTAACAAATAATTTAAATATTCTGAAGAAATCCATTTTTCTAGCTTTCTATTTCAATTCGGAAACCTATTGAAAGAAACTTGGAATAAATTTGTTAGTCTTTCTAGAATTTCTAGATTCAGATCTGGAAGCGAAACAAAATATGTTATTATAATAAGTCGGGCAGATATCTATGGAATTTTCAGCTGAAATTTACCCGACTTGAGTCTAGTTAATATAGAAAATCAAAAAACCTAGAGACTGATGATAAATTAAATAGAATTTTTGGAATCGTAACTAAAATTATCTCTATTGCTCGGGCAGATATCTATGGAATTTTATATTCTGCCAAAATGTGCCCGGACTTATTAATAAAAACTTTAGTTCTGATTAGCTCCAACTCGAGTTGATAAAATACAACTAAATAGTATAAAAGATATGGAAAATGGAATGTTCCAATTAATCGATATCTTTATAAAACATGATTTTGATAAATGAATGCTTCAGATTTTGAGTACGCATTTTTGTATAAATATATATGTATATATTTTAATTTCGGTGTATAGATAGATATATATATATATGTATATATATAAATGTTAATTATTATTTTGTATAAATACGCAACTCTTCGCTTACAAACAAGATTATTGATTAAGTTTATAGTTTAGTTCAAACCACATCTAATTAAAAAGAGTTTTGTTTAGTTTTCGTTTTCATTTAGTTTCATTTGTTTTTTTAAAGCATTTAAAATGCGCGCGTGCGAATGTTGTTTCAGCTAAAAAATAGTGTGTGTACGTGTACGTGTGCTTGTTGTGCTCCCAGCCGTGTTGCGCCCAGCCCTCCGGGGGAAGAAGTCATCGTCGTCGTCGTCCTATTCGATCTGGCGATGCGCCTCCTGCAGGCGTCCTACAACGCCCTGATAGAACTTGATTTGCTCGGCAATGAAGGCCTTCAGTGTTTGCTTTAGATGCGTATCCCGTTCGCTCTTGAAATGGGTTAGCTCGGCCAGCACCGTATAGGAGACAACATCTGTGCGCCTGTTCACATCCTGCAGCTGGGCATTGCTCATCTTGCCCTCGGCGGTGGAACGCTCGCAGTCCTTGCGCTTTTGTATGGCGCCCTTGTGCGTCGAGAAGATGTCCGGAAAGCAATTCAAGACGCCTCTGCAAGAGAGTTTTTGGGAATTTAGTTGGATACACGGATAATGAGATGCGAACTCTCGCTCACCTGTAGATGTGCAGCCGATCGGAGAGCGGTATCCAGTCGTGCTTGGACTGATCGCCAAACATTTGACCGATGCCAATGTAAATGCCACCAATGCGACCCACGCTCTCCGAGAGCGGCACGCCGTTGCGTGTGGGCGCGCGCCGTTCATCAATGGACAGCGATTTTGCCAGATCGGAGAGGCCGTCGCCGATGCGCTGGAATTCCTTTTTGCTTTGGGTCAGCGAACGTTTGGCCATATCGTTGGAAATGTTATTCAGATTGCGTATGGCCATATCCATGCTGTGTATGAACTGTGTGCCCGTCTCCAGCTGTGCGTCCACCTTGGAGTGCAGCAGATTCTTGTCCGGCGGCGATATGGCCAGGCAATAGTTAACGCCCATATACGGATCCCGTTCGGCTTTCCGTTTGCCCGACTTCCAGATCTTTTCGTCCGTGCATGTCAGAAAATGATACCAGACCTCGCATTTCGATATAACCGGATGACGGCAGACCCAGTCGACGAACTCCTGCAATTGTACGCGTCGATGCTCCACAAATTGCTCCTCATATCGGCCAGAGATCTGCTTGTCCGGCAGCGGTGGCACCGGTATCAAACAAAACTTGTCCGCCAGCCTCTCGTGCAGCCAATCGAAGTGTTTGTAGCGACGCGACACCTGTGTATAATCCGTAATTGACATCGCCAGATTAGATAGAAATTCAATTTCGAAATGTGTGACACAGTCTCAAGAACTGAGTCATTCGCGAATGCAGCAATAAAACATTCGTCAGACAAAGTAATTATTGAATGGCAGTTGGTCAGCGGCGGCGCTTGCCCCCAATTGAACTCACAACTTCAACTGCAACTCTCCTCATTTCATTAACACTGTGCAACAAAATATTGCACCCTTAGCAATCAAATTATTTACAGTCTATTTATAACACACTTGGGGGCTAGTTAATAAATCTTGTGCTTTTTATGACTGTTCGCAATTGGAAAAGTGGATTGAGGTGTCTTTATGTACACAAAGCTTCATGCTAAATCATGAATTTGTCCATTTTAATAGCTTTTAATTTACAGTATAGCTTATAGTTTCTTGTTTGGTTAAAATATCTCAATCGGAATTGCAACAAGATAAATGAGACTTATTTGCATGGAAACATGTGTAATATTATTATTTTAACCAAAGCGATGTTTGTTACGTACGCTAATTGGCAAAGTATAAACACAGCAACTTGTTGCGCAGTGTTATCAGCAGGCCACACATACACATGCACATGCACATGTGCATTTACAGGGCCTGTGCAAGTGTGCGTGTGTGAGATTCGTTGATCGGGAGTAAATTACTGTAAATAAGAGTGGCCATACTCACAGAGATATTATTAAAACTAGGCGTCAGCTGGTAGGCAATAAATGTTTTCATGCCCTTGAATTTGGACTCCTTTTTGGGACTGGCCACAATGACGGAGTAGGGTGAATGATTCTGCGTCCATTGGTATATGGAGTCCTCCAGTTGCGTGATATACGCCAGCTCGCATTCGGGTATCTTTTCCTTGTTGCTGGATAGGCCGAGTATATAGGAATCCGAGCTTTTAGCGAACATGCCCTTCTTAATGGTGGCCGCACTGGCACCAGCCGCTGTGGAGCTAAGTGATATGCCATCCTCGCTGGGCGCAACAGGTAGATGCCTGTTGTCGTAGTCGCTGGCGGAATGCGTGAGGCCGCCCGAGCGTGCCGCTGCTCCGGATTTGCCACCTGCTGGCGCTATCTCTGAATATGTCTCGTTGTCCTCGCTGTCCGTCCAAATGCTGTCGTTGTCGTCATCGGCCGTTTGATCATACCTGGGCGCAGGTGGCATATCAAATGGATCGAGAGGCGGACCAGCAGCTGGGTTACTTGTCTCAGCACCGCTGGTGAATTGGCGCGCCTCCGCGGCGGACATCACCTCCACGTAAGCCGCTGGAAAGAGCCCAATTTGGCCTCGACTGTTTTTGCCCTCCCACCAACCTTCGCCTACATCGCTCCTTGTGACTGTTAGAATGTCGCCGGTGACGATCGATAGTTCTGATGAGCCTGGCTCACCAGAAAAATCGTACATAGCGCGTACGTAAGATGTCATTTTGGTTATTGCACGATATTAACGCGTTTTTTTTATCTAAATCCGCTCCCATAAAGCAATTGAAAAAGCCAGTGTCTGAGTCAGTGTGTGTGACTAGTGTGACCGTTGCGTGTTTTACACTGTATACGCAATCGCCTATCGATAGGCAACTACACACACAAACTTGTTATCGTGCTATCGTTATGAGAGCAACCTTGAGCAGTGAGCACAAAAAAATCTGTCCGTGATTCGTTCGATTGGATTTTTATTAATCATTCGCTTATTGCGCGTTGCCGATTTTGTTGGTAAGTAAAGTGAACAGCTTAATTGCTTTTTAAACATATGCAATAAAACTAGCAACTATTTAACTATACATATGCAATTTGTTGTCATACATTTGGTAATGCTTGCTTATTGTGGTCTTCACCGACTTTTTTTTTGACAGCAGAATTGACTAACACGTCAAACGAAACCCCACAGTTCTCGAAAAAATACGAAGAAGTAAACAAGATAAGCGGATCCCGTGCAATTTACCATTAAAAACGTAAAAATGCAGCTGCAGGCCAAATATTTGCTAATATGTCTGTTCGTCGGACTGTTTGCCTCGCACCGTTGTCAAGCGGTGGCGGGTGGCGGAGAAGAAGGTAAGAGTGCCACAACGAATTTTATTCAGCTATGAGCTTGTGTGTGTGTGTGTGTTTTCGTATCGGTGTGTTGGTTGGTGCCTGCATTGAACAACAAATTTATAAATGCATGTGTATATGTATGACTGTATTGGAATCTTAAATGCCACACTCGTCTGCATATATATATGTGTGTGTGTGTGCATGTATTTAGGTGTGGAGCGTAATTGAAGAAGATTTCAGCATAAAGAACTTTCTATTGAGCCAAGTTGAATTACTTTATAACTGCTTGCACGTGTGTGTGTCTGTGTGTGTGTGTGCATATATATATTTTAGGAAATGGAGTCACGACTACGACTACTGAGGCAGCCACCACTGTAACCGTGCCACCGGCACCCGATGACAAGAATACAACAAGCACCGAGAAGCCGATAACAACAACAACAGCCGTGCCGCCAACAACTGCTCCAAATACAACAACAACGGTAGCACCAATAACAACAACCACGGAGGCAACAACAACTTCATCGACGCCGAAACCAACACCGCCGCCCATCACAACAACAACAACAACAACAACACCAGCTCCAATCACTACACCGTCACCAAATACAACCACAACCGTGGCGCCATCCACAAGCACAACTCCGCAGCCGTCCACAACGACCACGGCCAAGCCGACGCCGGTGCCTTGCGGACATTTCGATGGTTCGTCGTTTATAGGCGGCATTGTGCTAACCTTGGGTCTGCTGGCCATCGGACTGGTGGCCTACAAGTTCTACAAGGCACGCAATGAGCGCAATTACCACACTCTTTGAGCCGCCAATGCTTTTACGTCGGCCTTTAATGCAGCAGCCGGTGCAACAGCCGTGAACAATCCCGCCACGGATGCCGAACGTGTGCGCTTTGTTCAGCCATTAATTCCGTTGCGTTCGCCGCCAGCGCAACCGCCACCACCACCACCACCAGCAGCAGCAGCAGCAGCAGCAGTAGCACCAGCAGCATCATCATACTCCTCAACTGATCCTCAATATCGACAACAGCTATTGGCCGGCGAGACAACTCAACACTCAGCTATACAAAATAATTCACCATCGGCCAGAGATCGGCTGCTGCACACGTAATTTAACACTCGGGGTACAATTGTAATACAAGAAACTATCCAAAGAGCCCCGCGATAAACGTAATCTTCAAATCTATGCCCCAGCTCCCATCCAAACACACTCGCACTTCATTGTGTCAGACAAAACATTCTTCCCTTATCAGCTATATATACATATACTTCTCTCTATATATATATATGAATTATAATATGTAAATTTCATATGGCTTTTATGAAAAACATGAATCACGGTTTTTGCTGCAGTCTTTAATCAGCGAACTTTAAGCGGATGCTCGACGCCTTATTAAATCGGAATGCCCTTCAGCTTGAAACTCGGCGGAGGGAAAAGAAAATTAAATGAAATCTATATGATATATAAATGTATATGTATTTATATTGGAAATAGTTTATCTACTACAATAACAGCAAATTATGTGAGACTGTCGAAGAAATGTCGCGGTACTGAAGTGTTTTGTGGCGGAGCGCAACTAAAATGTAATCGGAAATATAGATTTTGATTGTATTTACAAACAGAAACTAACAATTTTAATAATAACTAAAACTCATTTAGGGTAAACAAGAGCTAACACATTAAGTCGTCAAATTTATTCCGCTTTCCAAACAAACAAACAAAACAAAAAAAAAAACACATTTGCATTTTTGAATATATATATATATATACTTATTTAAAGCTGATTAACTTTCTGATTACCACACATATATATCTATATATAAATGTCCGTGTCAAAGTTGTTGTCATTATTGCAAAAGCGCGAACAAAAAAATCGATAGATGCACAGAAATTTCACAAACGAATGTGTTTGCCTTTGGGAGTCCCCCTTCTCGATCCCAGGCAGACGAAAAATAGATAGATATATACGGATATCAGCAGCTCCATTGGAACCAAAAGATGAATTGAATACTGTGAGTTATATAATATATCTTATTATATATATGCGTATGTTGAATATTTTGTATTTGAAACATGAAACATGAACAACACATATGAATTATCTAGCCCACACTTATTGTTGGACCTACTGGAATCCCCCCTAATCCTCTGTGCACAAATTAATCTCATAATTACATCTATATATATATATATATATATATAGGCTTAGTGAACAAAACTTATTGTATATCCAGTAAAACTCGAAACGGCTTATTAAAGAAATACCTAAAGCTATGTATGTATTGTATATCGTGTACGATAATAAATATTTTAAAACTTTACTCACGCTCGTTATCGGTAAATGTGTGGACCCTTAAAGTTATATATATATTCTTGATCCGTGTCAACGGCCGAGCTGATAAGGCACCATGGCCAGGGTCGTGTTCTGTGTAAACAGGTTTCTCGGTTTTAAAGCTGCATTTAGTGTAATTCGGAGAAATTTAGGTAGCACCAGGCCAGATCGGAATACTATATAATAGAGCATAGTTATAATTGGCATTATATATATATATATATTATATAGCTGTCATAGGAACACTTGGTCGATAAAGTAGTTCTTGTATAAAAGAAAAACATTTTAATTTGAAGATATCTGAATGAACCTTCCTTATATGCAATATCTTATTAATATCGGGCTACTCTTAACATATAGCTCTATGGGAATATAGGGTCGGCAATGAGATTGACATATCCAAGTCTAAAGCTGTATTTAATCGTGTTGTCTTTTATTTCAGTACATCTTTCTACCTCATTTCTAAGTTTTATCATTAAACGCACACAAATCTTTCACATAATTGTTCGTTAAAACAATGATTTATTTAACATTGTATCAGATCTTAAACAAGCTTAGTTATATATTAGTTAAGCATTATACTAAATAGTTTTTAGGCCCACAATTAGCTACTCTGCTTTTGCGGCTTGCTTCGCTTTCTTGGGCTTGTCCAATTTGGGTGCTTGGCCGCCAGCTGCTTTGCGCTTCAAGTCCTTTTTCGAGCGCTGCTTTTTCTGCTGCGTATTGAAGCGCAGATTGAGCTTGGTGCCGCCAATGCTCAGATCCAGCTTGATGGCATTGCGTGCATCCATGGTCGTGGGCAAGGTGACGGTTGCCGCGCTGAAGTCGCGGAATTTTCCCCTGCCCGGCTTGATTTGTATGTCAACGGCATTTTCGAAGAGCTTGCGCAACTGGGCTACGGAGCTGGACTTGGGCAGATTGGTGATTACCACGGATGATGTGAATGTTTCCTTGCGCTGCACCTGTTTGGTGGCCCTCTTGAGCAGGTTTTTCGTTTTCTTCTTCTCCAGGGATTGTTGCTTGCGCGCCACAAGCTCATTGACAAACTCTTCGGAATCGGTTTTGGGCAGCGACACAAATATGCCCTTGAAGGCGGCATCGCTTTCAATTGATTTTTTGATATCTTCCAGTGCTTGGTTGCGATCTTCTTTGGATTTGAACTCGACCAGGCAGAAGCGCGCGTGCTTTTGACGGGGCTTCGCTGCCTTCGCGATTAGCGAATGCAGAGATTTAACCTTTGTCTCGAATTCCTGATCATTTAGTGGTAGCTTCTGTGGGAAGCGTACATAGAGTCGCGTGCCCTTTAGCTGCTCATATTTGTTGTGTATTTGTTCTTCAATTATTTCGGCTCTCGTTTTGGTTTTAGTCTTCGAATCGGAAGTTTCGTCTTCATCCGCTTCTGAATCATCGTCATCAGATTCTGTTGCGCTGCCCGCCAAATCCAATTCGCTGTCATTTTCCGATTCTGCGGATTCGTCTGCAACACTCTCTTCGTCGTCTGTTACAGGTTCTTCCGGCCTTTTTGTCATTTTTATAAAAATTAATTTGTTTATACCGTTGCCGTCGCACGTGCTAGAACCAGAGTTGTCAACAATTGTTGTGGTATTATCTACAGGGCTGCAGAATATATTGCACGAGCCAGCTGTTGCGTAGCATATCGCATGTGTGCGATAGCTCGTCTATCGATATATTCGATTAGTTGTGCAGGTGCATTTTGTAGAGACAAGTCTTATCTGTCTATCTGTTATTTATTTTTGGGAAAAAAAACATTAAACAAAATTTATAATGGATTTGCTGAATAATATATGCAGATGGTTCTCATCTGAAACGTCGAGGAACAAAAATTCTGCCCTGGCGGCAGGATTACTGGTATGTGTCCAGGTAGAATGCTCACCCTAATGCGCAATGCCTAATCGTTTGCTCCTGCTGCCAGTTCTTTACGGGGTGGTGGATATTAATCGATGCGATGGCCGGAGATTCTCACTATCAAATAACGACAGGACATGTATTTATTGGCATCTTTGGCACTATCAGCTTCTGCATGATCAACACGGTCAAAGGCGAACATGTAAGCCAAATACTTTATATATATATACATATATAGGTTTATATGCACAAAGAAAATGAGTCATTTTTGTTGTTTTACAGATATCTGACGATAACACATCAGAGTCGGGCGCGAGGATCGCCAAAATATGGTTGCTCATTGGCTTTGTGATTGGATTCGCTTCAATTATTGCCGCCATTTGGGTAATGGTCGATGACTTTGTTAACAATGGTAACGAGAAGCTAAGCTCAGAAGTTTGCCAATTATTAATGAATGTTGTCCTTTGTTTTACAGAGAAAAAGGACACAAGTTTGGGCGTCGCGTTGCTGCTACAAAATGTCTTCATACTGTTTGGCAGCCTGGTGTATAAGTTTGGCCGCAACGAGGAGGATTGGAATGAGTGAAGCGTCAGGATTGGGACGTGCTGCTTTTAGAAAAAATAACAGAATATTCCCACACATAATTGTATTTCATGTAGACTACTCCAAAAATTGGAAGCAACGCGCTTCATCATTGCAATATGCGTTTAGAAACAAACCAACAAATAATCTCATATTAATATTAAACGACGAGTCACTCGCACACTTTCATGTGTAGTTTATTGCAGGCACAGATCAGGACGCCAACGAGCAGCAGGCCCAATTGACTGGCAAGCCAAAGCCCATCGCTGCGTTGAGTATATCTATAAGTATAATAAATTGTACAATTGACGGAACTTGGCTTAAGCTACTCGGTAAAACTATAGAACATACGCGTCAACGGGACACTCGTTTTCGTTCTGGAGGCACCATTGCGGCTGCAGGGCCTCGGCCCCGATGCCATTCTCCACGAGACGCTCGCGATGCAACAGCAAGCGGGACTCGGCCTGCCGCCAGCCCTCGCTGGGATTCGACCACAAACGTTCGGCCAGAGCGCTGGCGCGTGGCCAGAAACGATTGTCCAATGTGTACTCATCGATTTGCTCCGACCAAATGGCAGCCTCAGCGCCGAGCACATGATGTTCATAGTCGCCCGCTATTTTGGTCAGATTATTCTGATAGACCTTCTGCCAGCCAATATAGGGGGAGCACCAGTTGTTGCCATCGGTCACCCAGCCGCCGCCGCCACAGTCCAGGTACAGCGCATCATAGTTGGAAACTATGATACGATAGCCGCGTTTCAGTATCTTCTTGATCACCTTATCGTTGCCCGTCGTCCAGATTTGTATAATATAGCGCAACGGATTCAGGTAATCGTCAATGTACGGCTCATTGGTGAGTGTGCTCGTCCACAGTATGATCGGGGTGTGCGAGCCGTTGGCCACGCGATCCACACGGCTGAGTGCCTCAGTCTGATAGTGGCCCCACAGGCGCATAAAATCCGCCTCCGACAGCCCCCAGCCACGCTGCGTCATCCAATTGCGTATGGAGGGGCTGCTGTTCCAGCAAGCAACCGACACCTCGTCGCCACCCATATGGAAGACATCCGGATTGTGCAGCTTAAACATATCGCTGAATATATCCTCTAGCACATCGTACATCCCATCGACAGTGGGATCCAGCTGACCGCACGGCGGCTCTACACAATACTTGTTCCACGGCTGGGCATTGAAGCAGGCGGTCATATTCTTGTGCTGCCAGCCCTCGCCCACATGCGCTGGACTGTCGAACTCGGGCATGACACGTATGCCGCGCACGCGTCCATATTCCACCTGAAAGCAGAGCACAATTAGCTAAGTCGATGAGCTTGGCAGCGGCAGCTGGTGCACTCAACTATATCCGCCACATCGCTGTGCGTGTAGACCTTGCTGGGTGTATAGGCGCCCAGCTTGGCCAGCTCCGGCCGCTTGCTCACTTCGAGAGGAAAGCTATGCGAGTCCGTGATGTGCCAATGGAAGGTGTTCAGCTTGACCATGGCCATGCCATCTGCAAAGGAAATCAGGTTAGATACGAGTTCCTTCTTAAAATGGCTTCCCACCTACCCAACGTGCGTTTGATAGCCTTGACGGAGAAGTAGTTGCGCGACGTGTCCAGCAGCAGGCCGCGCCATTTGTAGACGGGCGCATCGCTAATGGAGGCATTGGCCGCCACCTGGATCTCGCGGCGTATATCGTCGTAGACAATCAGCTGATTGAGCGTCTCCAGGCCGTGGCGGGCACCAAAGAAATTGACAGCCGTGATATTGGCCGTGATCTGGCCCGCACTATTCGAGCCAATGTTCAGCTCGTAGCTCTCGTCCGTGTCCAGCTGGAGACGCGCGGGCACTCCGTTGTCGGCCGTGTTAAGAACAATGTTCAATTGATAGCCACCCTCTTTGAGGCTCTTGCGATTGGGTATCTTGGCCTCTAGCAAGTCCAGCCAACGCTGCTCCGTTGCCTGCCAAAGTTTGTCCTTTTTGTCCACGCCAGCCAAGTGGAATTGAATCGTTGCAACGTCCACCTGACGCGTTAGCGGCTCCAGCTGCACAGCGCCCGTCGGCTTGGGCCAGAGTGTGCCAATGTTGCTGCCACAGAAGAGCCTGCAAACTGGCAGGCTAATTGCCCGTGCAAAGTTCTCCTCGCTCAGCTCGACCTTGCGGCACACACCATTGCTGCACTCGTAACCGTATATCAAATCGCTATAAATAAACCAGTTAACATATAATTAATACTTCTAATTAATTTAAATATCATTATAGTTATAATTGCCGCGACTTACTCAGCGCCCAGAGCAGCGCCAGGTGCTGGCGTCCAGCCAAAGGCCACCAGCAGGGCTATTGCCAGTGCTGTACAACGCATTTTTGTAAAACGGGCTGAAACTGCGAACGCGCAGCGAATTGCCAAGTTGATTAAAACCAAAAAAAAAAAGGCAACAGCAAGAAAAGGAAAATAGTTAAAACGGGTTTCTCAGCTGCCGTTGTAAGTGAACTTTCTCCTGCTTTGCGTGCGCCGCAAGCAACCGTTGCAGTTGGTTCTTCGGCGTCGACTGACGTATTTGTTTTGTTTCGCGGCCAATTTATCGGTTCGCCAACACTTGAAATCGATTGCGATTGCTGTTGCTGCCCCCCCCCCCCCCCCTCATCACAAGCTGCTCAAACACACACGCAAGCACATACACGAATGTACTGTTATGCGTTGTTATGTCGAGCGGAGATTACATAGTTTTGCTTTTAGCAATCGTTCTTGTTCGACAAGTCGTATTTTTAAATGCAAAAACCACGGCCCGATAACATTGGGCCTGTAAATCATAGCGAAAGTTCCATAAGGCTAATATAGTTTAGCAATTTAGCATTATCTTTTGATAAGACATAAGTACATATATTGAAGTACATATGAATTAATTAATTAAATATATTATATATAAAATTGTTTTTCCTCCTGACTGAGAGTAGGTAAAAAAAGATTAGGCCAGGTCTTTTTTCAAGTGCCTATATGCTTTTTCATTCAATAGGCCACCATACGTTATTTTGAAAGAGCCCCAATAAATTTTGGGTTGCTTTTAATCTTAAGTGTACGTTTTTAGCTATGTATTAACTTTTATGCCTTATCTAAGAAGATCAGGAAAGTTGTCTATTATGTGGGATTCGCGCCCTTTTGCGTTAAGGTGTTGTCCTCGTAAGTTTCCAAAACATCTGCCAAATGCTCGTTGTCCCGGGGCTTCTTGAACTGACGCTTTTTGTTGGCCGCCTTTTTGCGCTTGGGAACGGGCTTCTTGAGGCCATGATCTTGCATCGAACGTATGCCTGGAATTATGGGTATATACAATTAGTTAGGCTATAAGGGTATAAGATTGGTTTGTATGATTCTTGTTTCACCTTGCTTTTCAAGGTATTCATCGATTTTGGCATCGTCCATTGCATCAACCGTTGCGGAACGCCAAAGCTTCTGAAATTCATCATCAACCTAAGTGAATATAGAAAAGAGTATAAGATAATGTAACATATGGAAATAGGAAGCTTCGCGCTACGCACAGAGAAATTTGCGGTTCTATCATTGTAAAACAATATCTTCTTCTTATCTATGGGACGTATGATGAAGAGAATTTCGGCAGCGCGGTTTTTCAAGACCTTCTCACAGTGCGGCAGCGATTCCTGCACATCCTCTAGCAATATGCCACCTAGACCCTTTAAATCGTGTTGTTTCAGCAGTCGCATCAGGCTTTTGCCATCCTTTATCTTGTACACAGGTTTAAAGCTGAACTTTGTGCCATCGGGCGTGACATCGATCTTAGGATTATTATGGAGCGCTTCACCAGAGAGCCACTGCAACGAGGAGAAGCAGTGATTAGTGCACTGCTAAGAGAAGGTTTTGTTTCCATTACATTTTTCACAGATTGTCCAATATCCAACTGATTGGTCTCATCGAGGATCTCTTCAATGCTAAGTGGATGGTCGTCGCCATCCTGATGGCGGGTGCGCATAAACTTAACTATTTTGGCCAACACTCCAAAGCGATACTGAGAGCTGCCCGACATCGTTTTGTACCTGCACGAAGGAGACATGATGTGTGGGAGTGCGACTTTGATGTGTAGCTAAAGTGAACTTACGTGGATGCATCAAGCTTTGGGGCCGTTGGTGGTCGCATTTTCTTCTGGGAATCATCTCTGCTTGGTGGTGGAGGTGCCTTTTCTGTTCTGTTTTTTTTCTCCACGCTGCGAATACAAAAACCAATTTTAAGAACATTCTAACCGCGTGCTGGTCAGGAAACTTACGTGGGCGTTGCCATGGCACGTTTTTTGAACGCCTCGCGTTCGCGAAGTAGAGCGGGATCCATTTTTGTTTAGATTTTATTAAGCCGAGCTTTGGAAGTAATATTTTTTTTAACACAATCTACAAAAGCCCAAACAAAACGCTGCAACTGTCAGCGTCTCAAGCGAACAGCTGTTGAGTGAGTTTTCAGGGCTACCCAATAGGACTTATCGGTATTATTGGTTGACGCCAATCGAGTAACCACTCAATCGATACTTTCAAGTCGATTGGCCGCTTAATCGAAATTTGCGCGCCTAACATCGATTTCAAAAAAACGTATCGGTTCACTCAAGCCGGGCAGCTGTCAAAGTAAAATAAGAAACATCCATTTATATATTTATTTATTTCATTTATTAATATCGCTTTAAGGGCTTTACATAGAGTTGTATTTTAATTTTATTAGGTCATAATTGATTGGATTTCTTTGCGAAAATCTACAATCCGTAAGTTTTGCATTTTTTAATATATATATATATTCTTATCTTTGTCGGAATACGTTAGTAAATTGTACAAAGAGTTCGTTTATGTATATAGTTGCTTGGTTTTGAGTAACGGTAATTGCGATTAATACGATAGTCCCGTTAGTGGTTGGTTTTAACAATCATTGCAGTTTCGTTGGCTCCGTTTATGTCTGGTCTATTTATACATATACATATAAATATCTATATCATACGGGTACTCAGTACTACAGCGCACTTGAACAGGTCAATTGTACGGTTGGTTGGTTGGTTGGTTGGTATTTCTTGTTTTCCGTATTCCGTGTCTGTTTCGCTCTGTGTGGTTCTGGTTCTGGTACTGGTTGATTCCGTAGTGTTTTATGGGCGGTTCTTGCGTCAGTTGAACTGTTTTTTGTTGTTGTTGTTTTTTTTTATTTTAGTTTTCTTGGTATTTTGAAAGTAAACTACTCGTACATAATGTTCTCTGTTAAGTACAATGTTGTCAGTGGGTCTGTGGAAATAGAAAGATAAAAATTGTTTTGCTTATTATGTACGTGGTCGATGGCAGGATCGTCAAATCGATGAATGCGCGCTGAGTTTTAGTACAGAGATCGGTAATTGTAATTGTAACTAATTGTAATAGAACAGTCTGAACATATATATTGTGTGGTTTGTTATATAAGCAAACAGTTTTCGATTTAACACTAACAACTAAAAACTTACCTCGGACCAGGTGCATACTCCAACTATGGCTACATTAAGGCATATAGATACACAGAATCAATATTATATTGTTATACTTACACTCAATTTCGGCGCAGTCGCTTTCTGCCGCTGTCATCGCCATCTGAGCCGCTTCGCTCCTCAGCTTCCATGACCTACACAACAAATTGCCAATTGTTTACATTTTTTCCATTTTATTTGGGATATTTCGTTTGCTTACTTTGATTTTGGTTCCACAGATCTCTGCACCATTTAAAACACCAATTGCCTTTTGGGCACTCTCTCGCTCCGAGTACTTGACGTATCCACAGTTCTTGTTTGGTAGCAAATACACATCAATTAGCCCCTTCCAGCAGGAGAATATGTTCTTCAGTATTGAGTGAGGCAGATTCTAAAATTGTATGCACAAAACAAATCAGCATCGGTCTGTAAATGGCATACGGATTTTTAGTAACCCACCGCTGAGAGCACAATGAAGAGACGCTGGGCAACCTGTGCATCCGGCGATGCCAAGGGCTGCGTCGGCGGCAGCGGCACATTGCAAATGGCGTCCTTTTTGGTACGCTCTGAAATGGTAGCAGAGGTTAAGAAAGGAAACCAAACACACCTAACAATCATTTCTTACTGTCAATGAAAGATGTGTCCATACGAGCTGAGCTCATGCCGTTAACCTTAACAATTATACGCTCGCCCATAGGATATTCGAGGCCATGCAGCTTGTCTCTATGAAAATGATATATGGATATTTGAAAAGTAAATTAATGTTAATATAAAACTTGTATTACTTGGCATAAATTGCAGCTTCAGGATTATCGTATACAACAACAGCCTCATTTGTGCGCGGGCCATCTAAAATCAAGAGTTGTAAACTGGAGAATTTTTATATCATAAGCGTCGCTTACGTTCTCGCATAATTTGACAATAGTCCAGTCCGGGTATTATGTCAAATAGGCGCCACAGCTGATCCTGATTAACGCAATTGCTGACCGTCACTTCCAAGCATGTGGGCTGTGGCACAGGCACATTTTGCATGCGCAGAAAGGCGGACATGTCGCTGTTGACTGATGCATTCCAATCGTTGTTGAAGCTGCCAGCACCGCTTCCACCACCACTGCCACCACCATTATAGGTGGAGCCACCACCGCCGCGCCCCGAAGGGTATACGGGACTGTCATCGGCAAGGCGTCCATACTGATCCCGTTGTGTGCGCGTCGAGCCCTTGGGTTCGGCAAACACCGCCTTGTATTTGGCTGAACAGTTTTCAAATGCCACAGCGGCATAGTAAAACCTAAAAGAGCGGCATTATTAATAATGTTTTGAATTTGTGGAAAACATATATATACGTAATTGTGTATAGAATTCTAGTGATTTTAATAACATAACGGAATAAAAGAGTAGGTGGCGTTTGTGACGCTCGTTTTGCGTTCAGTGTTGCGAACTGTTGCTGAATCTTAAAAAAAAAAAATGGCTGACGGGTCAAATTGTGAATAAACCTGGGTTGTTAACACTTGTCATGGATATGCAAAAAATAAAGGTAACTCAGTTAAATGATTAAACTGTTTCTGTCCACATTTCCGGATTTGGCTGAAGTTGCAACATTTTTTCCTGTTCGTAATGTGTAGTTCTCTGCATAAAACGTAATACATACTTTGTGAAGCGTACGTAGCCGAAGCCTTTGGGACTGCCATTGTTCTTCTCGCGGACAATGGTCACGTTCTCAACCTCACCCCATTGGGCAAATTCATCGCGTATATCATCCTCAGTGGCGGTCTTTGGAATCACAATAAATAAACGCACATATTTCTCCTGTTCATTATCCGACTTGTTCGAACCCTGATTTCGACTGCAAAATGTTGCAAAGAGAAATTGAAAATTTTGTGCTGACCTCAGCCAGAAATTATGCCAGGTCACTTACTTTGCGGCAACCAGCACCTTAAGGGTTCTGTCAGTTTTTCCAATAGTCTTTCCGTTCATCTGCTCCTGTGCCTTGGCGGCATCCGAGGTTTTTGAGAACTTTACGTAGGCGATGCCTTTATTTTCCTGTGTGTGCTTATCCTTAACTACCCATATATCTTCAATTTCGCCATAGGGTGCGAAAGCCTCGCGAAAATCTTCTTCGGTATGTGCTTTGTTACATATTATGAACAGCCGCGACATGGGTGGGTCGTCGTCATTCGAATAATCTTGACCGCGTCCACCGCCACGGGATTGAGAGCGATAATCCGACATATTTCTTTAATAAATCAAATTAAATTTTCCTACACTTCTACTTTTTCGCGTTTTTGTTTTGCTGGCCAGACGCCGAATACAAAATGGCAGAATACTCAGAGAAGTATTTGTGTATACTACTGAATAAATAATCGAATCGGATTTATCGATTTGCACCGGTGTTTTCTTATATTTTTTTAGTTAAGAATTACGTCTTTTCACAACACTGGTGCCTCGGAAATGTTTTTGTCTGAAATTTTAGGTAGGCGAGCAGATGCTCTGTTGATCCTGAATTACATGCTGCGCAGCCGTTACGTTTTGCACGAATTTGTCACTACCTGTGTAGAAATTCAACATAAAAGCAACCCACTGGTAACAATGCTGTTAGTCGCCATAAGACGTTCAAAATGAAATCAATGGAAAGAGCTGTCATGCGGATGCTGGCGATGCTGATATACATCCAGCTTATACGTGGCGATATGGCTAAGATGTCTAAAAAGTCGCATGTGGAGGACTTTGAGGGCGTAACAGCGTTATTCGAGGCACTAACATCGTCGCCAAACGACGGTTACACGTATGACTGGCGTGTGCACACCTTTTCAATAAGCAGCAACAACATTGACGAGGAGCATGTGATTCACAATTGTACGGTTTTGTATCTGGACCAGTGCACATCTTGGAATAAGTGCCGACAAACTTGCCAAAAGACAGGTGCAGCCAGCTACAGGTGGTTTCATGACGGATGCTGCGAGTGTGTTGGTGGGCATTGTTTGGGCTATGGCATAAATGAGAGCCGTTGTAGCCACTGCCCCGAACCTGGATGTGATAGTGATAATGATAATGATGATTAAAAGCAGATTAAACATACATATATTTGTATATATATATATAAAGTTATTAGTATTAGTCAAGTTTATTGTTATGTTAAACAAGCAAAATAAAGAGGTATGCTGCAGGGTTCCAATAAACAACACTGTTTTGCGTTTGACGACTTGATATATTCGCCTATCGATATATCGGGGTATCGCACATCTCTATTTCATTTCAGCTCCACGTTGTTTGGGTCGGTGGACAATTTTAAACCGTGACACGCTAAAAACACAAATGGGTCGCAAATTCCAAAAGAAAAAGAAGGTTGAGCAGCTGGAAATTGTGCCGCTAGATGAGAATCCACCGCTACCCTCCCAAAGACCATCAGATGAGGTCGTTCCAAAGAAGGTAAGCACCTGTGACGGCAACACACAAAAATCAGCCTTTCTCATCCACATTTTTTGTTATCTACCCAGGAAAAATGGATAAATAAACAGAGAGTCTTGGTGTTTGCGGCACGTGGTATAAGCCACCGTGACAGACATCTCATGCGCGACATCAAAACTCTGATGCCGCATCATCGTCCCGAATCTAAAATGGAGCGCTCCAAGACGTTAGCCGTGGTCAATGAGATGTGCGAAATGAAGCACTGCAACAAGGCCATGTTATTTGAGGGTCGGCGCAAACGGGATTTGTACATGTGGTTGTCGAACACGGTCGGTGCCACCGGACCGTCTGCCAAATTTCTCATTGAGAACATCCACACGATGGCGGAATTGAAGCTAACCGGCAATTGCTTGCGCGGCTCACGGCCATTGCTCTCATTTGATGCCAAGTTCGATGAGCTACCCCACCTGAAACTGCTCAAAGAGCTTTTTGTGCAGACATTTGCAGTGCCCAACCATCATCCAAAAAGCCAGCCGTTCATTGATCATGTTTACACATTCACGTACCTGGATAATCGCATCTGGTTTAGAAATTTCCAAATTCTATCCGAAGACGGTGGCCTCTCCGAGGTGGGCCCACGCTATGTGATGAATCCAGTAAAGATTTTCGATGGCTCCTTTACGGGCAAAACCATTTGGGAGAATCCCGATTACGTTAGTCCCTCCAAACAGAGACAGATGCTCAAGAAGGCCGCCAAGGACAGATATGTGAATCGCGTCGAGCAAAAGGTGCAGCAGGAGGCAACACGCCCAGTCAAGGCATACGAAGGCCTCGACAATGAGGAGCTGTTCGAAGACGAGGATCCACTAGAAACCGCCAGACTGCTGGCGCTCAAGGCCAAAAAGAAGGCTGATCAAAAGAAAACGCCCAAAGCGGCGCTCAACAAACGGATTAAGGACAAACAAATGCAGGTCGTGAAGCAGGTGATCGAGCAGCGCAAGGCCAGGGTAAAACGTGTGAAAAAAGTTTAAAATGTTTTATTTCGCGTTACATTTACGAATAAATACAAATACATAAATACATATAAAAATGAATACATATAATAAATACGTTTACAATTGTGCGTTTGCCTCAGATACGATTTGTTAAAAATATTTGACATAAGCAGGATTACTAGTCCTGCACTGGGCATCTCTATGTTATCCAATATATATATAAGTTACTATTTTATGTCTGTTTCACTACGTTTTGTACGTTGAGTTACATATTTTGTTCACTCGGAGGGCACGCGGGCAGAGTCCAACACCTGACATATTGGATCGTTATGAGTTTCTTAGTTTTCATGGGAGCACGGATTAGATATATATATATATATATGTAGAAGAGTAAGCGTCTTTTTTTAGCTGGAATATTACTCCGCCATTGGGGAGACTTCGGCATCGGTTGGCGGCAATCGTGTAATGCTAAACGGCTGCTTATTGATGGGCATCATCTCAACCACCTGTATGGGCGGCTCCTCGCCGGGCTGCAGGGGCTCCTCGCCGACCAGTTTGGCCAAATTACTCTGAGCCCAGCGGCCGGCGCGACCATTAATGGTCTTGTCTTCGCAGACGCACAGGAACAGCGTATCGACCACCATCTGAAAGCAATTCGGGCGATAATTAGCATTTGGCAAATTATACAAAGAAATTGCAGACGACAAACCTCGAAGAGTGAGAGCACAATGTGGGCTATGAAGAAAGCGAAGATAATAATCAAGATGACGGGCGCCATATAGAAGTTCAGGCCAGGTCTGTCCTTCAGCATAAAGATGCCCAGCAGACCCGACAGCGCGGCAACCACAACTTTGCCCAGGAACAGAATAAAGTCGCCGATGCTGTTAATTGTTGCCACTTGCAGCACGTTGGTGGCCATCGCATTCCAGGCCTGAAAGATGAGAGAATGTATAATTAAATACAATTGATTATTGATAATTAAAGCTAGTACATACAATGCCAGCAGCTGGGCAGAAGTTGATGGACTCAATGGCCACCACGGTGTATGCATTGTGATTAAGGAAGCGTATAAACTTCTCCAGCAGCCAAAAGCCACAGATGCAGCACTTCAAGCAGCAGGCGGCGCACTCAGAGCCCTTGTCCTCGCCCTTCTTGAGCCTGTCGAGAAGATTAAAATTTATGAAAAAGTACAGGACGAATGTCAAACAGGACAAAACTCACTTGGCATACAGATAGGTCAAGATCAGACGCGGTATTTTGAATATTGTTATAACAAAGGAGCCTTTAGCGACAGTGCCCAGATGATATTTGATCAGTTTGCCAATTGCATAAAGAGTTGGCGTTGTTGTCGGCTTGCCGAAGTACCAAAAGGCCACTGCGGCGGCCAGCGCGAATTGCTGGCAGGCAAAGATAAACTCAACCGTCCAAATCAATCCGACCACATAGATCCAGAACATGCTGCGCAAAGTGCTCGCATCCGCATACTCTATACGCGTAATTGCTGTGTCAGGTGAATAGAAACAAGAATTAGACAATTTTATAAAATAATATTCGCGCTTCACCTGCAGAAGCAATTATATACACAAGTAGGAAGGCATATAAGTTTTATACATAAAAATATATATATATGTATGTGCTTATGTATGTATGTATGTGTGTCTGTATGTGTGTGAGTGTATGTATGTATTTCTGTATATATGTATGCATGCATGATTGTTTTCTAGTATCAGAGGCAGACGAAACTTAGTTGTCGCTGTCCAGCAAATTTAAATAAAACGAATTTTTGCCAAGTGCTGTCCTCCTCGATTCTCAAAAATTCAAGTAGGCTCTGCTGTTTTCTGGCTAAGCCAGTAGTGTGTGCTTTTTTTTTGGCTTTTTTTTTTGGTGGTTTTTTTTTTGGTGGTTTTTTTTTTGGTGGTTTTTTTTGGTGGTTTTTTTTTGGTGTTTTTGTGCGTGTATGTGTGTGTACATCTATATGTATGTACATATGTAAGTATGTACGTACGTATGTATGTACGCACATATGTATGTATGTACATATGTAGATATGTACGTATGTATGTATGTATGTGTATATGTATGTATGTATGTATGTATATATATGTATGTATGTATGTGTGTATATATGTATGTATATACATATGTGTATTTATGTGTGTGTGAGTGTGTATGTTACCTACATGCATGCATGTTTGCATATATTAAAACACGCATGCATACATGCATAATTACATACATGCTAGCATGCAGCATGCACACAACTTACACATGCATGCATTCATATATGTATATATGCACAAATGCATGCATATATGCGCATGTATGCATGTTTAAATGCGCATGCATGTATGCATGTGTGCAAATCGGACAAGACTGAACGTGCACCTTCATCAAATAAGGTAAGACAAATATATAAACATATAAAATATTTTATACAAAAAAAAAAAACGCTTAGCTTCGGCATGCCGAGGACTTAATACCCTTGCATCTGGCACTTAAGCATATTTTAGACAATTAGATATGTTAGTGTATGTACATAGAGTTAAATGAAAAGAAGAAGAATTCCGAATTGGGAGATAAGATTAGGGCAAAGGATAACATATCACTTACACATTAACATAACCAGTGTTTTTTTTTTATCAACCAACAACCAAATATAAAAGAATACATTCAGGATTAATATTTGAAGTAAGTCCTGGGCAAACGCATCACAGTTAATAAACATAATCTAAATGTTTTATCATTTACTTAAAGTCTGGCAGAGCTATTAGGTATAAAAGTTAGGCTCTGCAAGCTTTCACATGTTTAAGGCTCACTTAGGTTAGCAAGGAGCTAAGTTAAGGATCTTAGACCGGTTACTTACTTCTCTCATCGCCTCCGGGAGCTGTCTGATTGAGCAACATGGCCGCC